TGTAGTAATATCCTACATATTCGTGAACTGGGGTGTATTTTATGACCCTTAAAATACAAGGTTATTGTCCATCTACCGGCAGTCCCCAGGGACCTCCGTGCCGGCCCCCGAGCTTCAGAGAGCCAGGGATGAGAACAGGCTGGCAGACAGGTGTCAGATCTGTGCAGAGCACCAGAACAAAAACACTGACACATCAGGGACATTATGATAATAACATCCAACACAAGTTTTACTCAGTGGTTTTTGTTACATGAGAAATACTTTAAAAAACTGGCGAAGTCACCTGACGCCACTGTTTCAACACAGACGATTGTTCACAGGTCCCTCGCATATATTGCCATGCAGCATGTGAATGCACGGCACATGTACTATTTATCGCCTCTTGTCTTTTGGATACCTTTATCGTGCATGCTGATATCACGATAATGGTAAATTTTCGATATTGTGCAGCTGCAATAGAGTGAACAGCTTGATAGAATTCCTGTTAACCCCTTTCTGGTAAAGCTTATATTTTAGGAGATCATGGTCAACAAAATCAGCACTTCATTAGCCAACTCATCTATATCAAACACTTCATTGGTTTTAGCGGTCTCAACTGCTTTCTTGGACTTATTCTCTTCCTAGGTCTCTATTTAAAATCTCATTAGCATGAGGATTGTGCCTAATATATTACTTGGAACAACATACATGTTCATTAAATTCATTGTCTGCTATCTTGAGAATCTGGGATTAAAGGACACTTCAATATGTGATTATTCAAATTTTGAATTGTAATCCTTTAGCAAGGTATAATTTGTTTTTAGTTTATTGAGGTATATTTTGTGATCATTAATGTCTGTAAGACAGTTTTAATCATTTTGCTGTGTCTATTGTTATTCTGTCTGCCCTTCATTTTTAGGGCAATGCTGTACTTTACAGACATATAATAAAAAAAACATTGAAAATGCAATGGAAGAATAATGCAGGCTACCATGGCACTAATAAAAGGACAAATGTGAATTTCCTTAAAAAGAAGAGCTCCCTTCAATATCATGGCTGAATATTTAGCTGATTTCCACAATGTGGAAAAGTCTGTGAGATTTCAGAACGAGACATCTCCTTGGACAAGACTTGAACCCAACAAGATTGGATCCGCGAAAGGTATGGAAAAACACCCCATTTCTCTATAGGGCCCTTTCCATAATGTTGTCAGACACCTTTAATGACAATCTGAGCCTGTCAGTGGCAAAAATAAGCACTCTGAGTGAACATAATCTGACAGTGCACAACCACCCATTGGGATTACACTGCAGACTGTTTTGCTGCTGCTGGCTGCAGTGCTCTCTCTCTCCAAACTAGATTAATTTTTTAAAAAAGAAAAAAAAAACCTTTATCTAAACAGAAAAAAACTCTTGAGAATAAAATTAAGAGATAAAAAACAAGAGTGTCCAGGCCAAGACAGGCAGCAACACTAAATACAGACAGACAACATAGAACAAATACACAAAATAAAAAAAATATACAGCTCTAAAATACGCAATATAAAACACAAAATGAGATTACAACAAAGAAAAGCCAAAAACTATGTTACTAAATGCTAAAAGTGAACCATAAAAATGCTAAAAAAAAAAAAAAGGGGCAACTACACATGATTACAAAGACCAGCTTAAATACACCCTGACATTAGCATATAGATGACTGCGTACAAAAATCCAACAAGTGATTTGAAACAGCCAAGAGGAACCAATGAATGCAACTTTATGTCCTTCTGCAGAAGATTCCACTGATAACGAGCGGCATATATTAGGCTAATGTTTGTTTGCCAAACTCTATACATAGCCTTGGTATAGATAATGGAGACAACAACAGAGAGCATGGCCATTTTCAATTTTTTGCTTTCACTTCAGAAATTGTTGTCTCCATTAGTCACTTAGACATAGACACATGGCAGAATAGGGTCCACGTTGAAAACTACCAAAGTTTCCTTTGAATGAATTCAACATAATGAATGATGAATGATTTACTTGGGTTTAAAGAGAGCCCTACTTTTACGGAAATTCACATTTATTTAGTGCCATGTTAGCCTACATAATTCTTTCCATAAAATTTTCATTGATTTTTTTATTACACACCTGTAAAGTACCGCACTGCTGTACAATGTATGACAGTATACAGACTAAACCAATTATTGAGCTAATTAGGAAATAAATTACAACAAATTATTAAATAATTAAAATAACTGCTAGGTGTGACCCTTAACCAAACTCTTAAATGATGCAGTGATAAAAATTAAAATTTCTTAAAGCTTGCATTAATCTAAAGCAGCGTTCATTTCGTTGCTGAAATTTTTTTGTTAGCGGCCGAGATGGTGACGAGCTAAAAACAAATATTGATTAGGGGTGTAACGGTACACAAAAATCTCGGTTCGGTACGTACCTCGGTACACAAGTCATGGTTTGTTTTTTTTCGGTACAGTAATGAAAAAAATAGACAACTATTAAATATCTTTTACTGATTGGTAACCTTATTAAAACATACCACCACAGCAGTTAACTCTTTTTACACAATTTTTGAATGAAACAAATATATATAAAATCCTGCTTTTTCACATTGTTTGAATGAAAATAAAAATATAAAAGTGAAAAATAAAATCCTGCTGTTTTTTTAACACATTTTTTGAATGAAAAATATAAATATAAATTTCTGCTTTAACAGTTTTACTCAATTAAAATAAAAAGTATAGTGCAGCTGGTCAGCTTTAAAGCCTGCTCAGATTCAGTTTTACTAGGAACTTACTTAGCTTTCCCACTTTGTTAAAGTGCAGTAAACAAAACATGCTTATATCTAAAGTGCAGCTTAAACAATTTTACTCAACTCCAATGGCGTTGGTTATTTCTTTAGCGAGATGGTCAGGGAAACGCTCTCTTTTTAAATGACGACGATATAGTAGTTTGCACCAGATTGCTTTTTCTAGTCGTGCTGATTAACGTTCAAACTCGGGTGGTGTCGCTTTAGATGCGTTAGCATGTTAGACGTGTTTCCAAGTACATACCCGACTGCTGTTCTGCAATGTCGGCACACTGCTTTTGTCTTGTCAACTTGTTTATTTCCATCTTCATATTTTACCCTGAAACCAAAGTGTTCCCAAACGGAGGACTTAAGGTTTGCGGGTGGGTCTTCAGGTTCGTCAGGCTCACTTGCCATGTTGTCAAAATGCGAGAATGCGCTGCACAAAGTGAAAGTGGCTCGCAAAAACGGAATTAAAATAAAACAAAATAAAATAAAATAATATCCTGCGCCCAATGATTCGGTGCAGGGTCGTGCCGAACCCAAAGTCGCATACCAAACGGCTCGACACAAATACATGTACCGTTACGGCCCTAATATTGATAATAAAAACTAAGATGAAATCTGTTTCATTTTCGTTGAGATGAATGTTATTGGTGGACTATCAGACACTGAAAGCTGAAAACAGCCATAGTTGTAATTATCTTCTCATCACATCACATCATTGACGAGCTCGTGAACTCCAGTAAATAGTCTGCACCAGGATGTTTCACTAGCCAGCAAAAATACTCACACCAGAGAAGCATCAGCCATTGGTGCGAGCTGTGAGCTGTAAATCAGCAGTAAATAATCAGCCGTGTGTGTGTCTGACTGTGGATGGTGGAGCTGCTGAATGGATTTGTGGAGTTCAGCCTCTGAACAGCAGCAGAGCAAGCAGTCACTGACTGCCGGACTTCACAGCTGATCCCTGCAGAACTACACTCAGTCCAGACTGTCAATGAAAGGTTTATGGTTTGATGCTGTTTGACAGGAAGGTAGGAAGCTCAGTTATCTGTAAGCATAGCTGTATTGTAAGCTAACAGTCTGAACTCTGATCAGTTTTCTCTGACAGAGGTGAAAGTTTAATTTAGTTTGGTTTATTTTAATCACCAGTTCTGTGAGAGGACACAAGTTTAAACCTCCAGATTAACATGTTGCAGATTAAAAAAGAATTCAGGCTTTAGTTATATTATTTTTCTGTTTCTTAACAGTTAGATAGATAAAGATGAGTTTATGATGAACCTCTGTATAAATCCTAGTTGTCTCCGATTAGTTATTTGTGCTGTCTAAGTTTTTTAAAAGCATAAATAGAGAGATGTTAAGCTTTTCAAAAGATAATCGACAAGTGTATGCTCATAAATCACCCCTAAAGAAAACATAATGACTAAAAGTTGACAAAAAAAGGTTTTGAATTTTCATTGAATAAAACTAGACTTAAACTATGAAGGATAAAGATGACTATAGTGTGACTTACACTAATAAGCATTTTTATATCAAGACTAAGACTAAATCTAAAATAGCTGTCAAAATAAACACTGGCCTAAAGCTAAGGAATGTCATGTATGTCATAAATTAAATTTAATGATTTATTCTGTTATATGGTATAGGTCAAGAAAGATTACCCTCCAGCACATAACATTACCGCTTGAAAACCTACTTGCAGTACAACTTACTTTTTTCGTTTCGTTGAGTTAAAGGTTTTAGTTCGTTACTACCATTTAAATTTACCTAATTTTATTTGTCATGTTCCTCCTTCAGTGTATGTTGAATGTTGTGACTTATGTAACAACTAATTTCCCATTTATTTAATAACTATTTATCTAAAACCGTAAAGACACTCACATATCTAAGTAACGTTACTACTCTAGGCTCCTAGTCTTCATGAGACACATCATTGACGTCATGTTGTGCCTTTGATATACAGTTAAACACTGTATAAAAAGAATGGTGGAACTGAGTCACTGAGTTGACGTCCCACGAGTACTTAATGCACAGTCGTTCAACTTTTACGACAGTAACGTTACCAAAGAAAATTGACAGTCATTAAAGTAATTTAAGTTGCCGTATTATTATAGCTACTAGTCAACTTTAACTCTAGACATTTTCTCAGCAGGCTTCTTTAAACACAACTGCGGTGAACATATATTGTGTACTGTAACGGGAAATGCAGTTTAGTAACATAAAAGGTTATGTACCCAGTTTCCAAATCCATATTGTTCGATGGCATCGAGTAGCGACTGCTCTTCCCTGCTGGTCCAGCCTCCCTCTGCCTCGGAACCCCAGAGCGAGAAGCGACCGCCGTCGACCTGCTGGTAGCCGTGCCATCTCCGGTGATTACCGATTTCTGCGCCCGCCGAGAAACACTCCGGACACAGTTCGATATCGGGGCAGTCGGTGCAGCGAAGCCGCAGGTTTGTAACGTCTGCAAGGCAGTTAACACAGTACTTCTTTCCCAGGTCGGCCATGTTGTCTGGCTCCTGCTTCTTGTTGTTGGAGGCAGAACTGCGCGCATGCGCAGTACGAGCTTCTCGGCTTAGCCTACACACCCTGCTTGTTAGTATTAATGAGCAGAGCCAGGGCGCCTCTGATTGGCTCCTGATGCCAGTTTCCAGGACAACAGAAACCAAACGAACCGTTTTATTGACTTTACAAGTCTAACCGTATATAGGATATATAACCACTGAAATATACTTTAAGGTTTTCTATATCTTTTGAAAATGGATGGAGAGCCAGAAAATGAGGTGAAGATTAATGGGCAGGTGTCAGCAGATTCCACCAACGAAGAGGACACTTCGCCAGCTGTTTATGGAAATGAAAAGGAAGGTGTCCCAGATGAAATGGTTGCATCAGATCATGATGAAGAAGACTCTGAAAATATGAAAGCCACTGAAGAAGCAGCCACCTCTGAGCCAGAAGACAACAGTGGAAATGAGTTCCACGGTGTCGACCACATGACCTCAAGTGAAGGCTTGGATGTGAAGATGAAGGAAGTGAATGAACAACTAATGTCCCACGAGGAGAGTGTTGTTTTTGAAATCAACAGCACTGATGATGATGGACCTCCCAGATTACATTTTGAGACCCCAGAGAGACAGAGCACCACTCCTACACAGGAGGAAGATGAAACTGAGGAAAAGGGATCCACTGCTGCTCCTGCACACAAAGAAGACATCAACAATGAAGAATACATGCAGCTCCATCAGAAGCTGTGCGAGGACAGAAATATTGTCAGCCAACACCACAGCCAGCTGCAGACGAAACTGGCAGAGTTCTTCCGCAGGAAGGCCTGGGATGATGCCCAGCTGGAGAGGGAGATGTCAGAGCAGCTGCTGGAGTATGAGAGGTGCATCAACATACTGACTGACCTGAAGCAGCAGATCACTGCTAATATGGAGACAGCTCAGCAGCAGACAGAAGAGCTGAGGCTCAAGTCCCAAGAGAAGCTGAATAAGGTTGGTATTATTGTCAGGACCTGTGCAGGTTTCCTACATTGTTTTTAAAAATACCTAAAAGATTTTGATAATTTCCAAGTTAAAAATGTTGGAAAGTGGACAAAAGTATTATTAAAATATGTATGATAGCCTATAATGATAAAATATGAGATCCATCCATCTTCTAACCGCTTATCCTCTTGAGGGTCGCGGGGGGGCTGGAGCCTATCCCAGCATTGGGCGAGAGGCGGGGTGCACCTTGGGCAGGTCCCCAGACTATCGCAGGGCTGACATGTAGAGACAGACAACCATTCACACCTACGGACAATTTAGAGTCACCAATTAACCTATCCCCAATCTGCATGTCTTTGGACTGTGTGAGGAAGCCAGAGTACCCGGAGAAAACCCACGGTAACACGGGGAGAACATGCAAACTCTGCACAAAAGGGCTCCCACACCCGGGATCGAACCAGGAACCCTCTTGCTGTGAGGCAACAGTGCTAACCACTTCATCACCGTGCCACCCAAAATATAAGATAAAATAAGTAAATAAAACAGATTGGAACTGGAGATATATCATTAGGGCTAACATTATCGTAGGTGCCAGGTTTTGACATGAACATGAGTGTGCAACACATTCTCACTCTGACCTCGTCAAATATCAGCATTTGGTCATGGACTTTCCATGTTATATGCATTGTCTGTTTTCACAACACACTTCCATTTTTACAGGAATTGTACAGTTTGCATACATTCATTCATTTTCCATAAGCACTTATCCTGTTAGGGGTTGTGGGAGGGCTAGAGCCTATCACATTGCTGACACATACAGACAGACAACCATTCACATTCACACCATTGGCCAATTTAGAGTCATCAGTTAACCAGCTTGGATAATAGTGGTGGTGCAGTGGTTAAGTGGTTAGCATTGTTGCCTCACAGTAAGAGGTTACGTGGTTCGTACCCAGGATGGGGGGTTCAAACCACATGATGGGGGAGCCCCCCAGCGCGGAGCCTGCATGCTCTCCCTGTGTCAGCGTGGGTTTTCTCCGGGTCCTCTGGCTTCCCCCCACAATTGGTGACAGCTTGCTTAAAGTCCCTCTCAAAATAAACACACTACCATGGTACAACACACAGCAAATTGACCTTCAACAACAAATGCACATTGTTACATTTAGCCAACACACTCACATGGTTAGTTTTAGGCAACAAAAGCACGTGGTTGGGTTTAGGGAAAAAGAACAGGGTCTGGCTTTACATTCACAAAGGAAGCGAACACCGGCCTCCTGGGTGAAAGTCGGGTGTTGTTACAAAATAATGGCGGCGCATCATGCCAGTGTAAAAAGACGGCTTTTTTTGTCAGTGTCTGCCACCGGAAGTCACTGCCAAAACGTCGGTATTCGACAACTTTGGAGTGAGACCGGGCTGGAATGTAATGTTTTACCTGTGGAGAGTAGTCTTGAAATTAACAGTAGTGTTCCAAAGTTGCAGTTTTATTGACATCTAACATAATTTCCTGTTATGTTCATTATGTAAACTATCTGCAAAAACAGTATATTATAAAGATGATTACATACTGTACTTCCTGTCAGTTTGTAGTATGGAGCTGGGGTTCATCGCCATACAAACAGGGGAATGCATTATAGCAAACACAAAGAAAGTTTGCAAAACAAAAACTCAAAAGTATGGAAAAATACATATAATTTAAAACCATGACGGGCACCCAGTGAGGGGCTACCTTTAACAAAAATTAATTGAAACATTTAGCAAATACTCTTAAGGACCTGGCTCCTCACATGCATTTTTATATGGCTGAACTTATAACAATCTTGTTATCCTTAATATATGTAAGCACCCAAATAATAACTGTTGATTGTGTGTTATGGTGTCATCCTCGTCCTCAGGTGGAAACTGAATGGCGAACGATCACTGCACTGAAGCAGGATGTAGCTGTGGCAGTACTAAGTCGATGCCTAGGTAAAGAAGTTGCTCAGGCCAAAGTAGAAGCAACCTTAGCAACAGAGAAGCTTCTGCAGGACAAGCTGAACAAGCTCTGCCTCAAGCACATCAAGCTGAGGATTAAGATTCACAGGCTGGAGACAGAGCTCTGTGAAGGGGAAGAACATGCTAGGGACCCCCTACAGCTCCAGTTTGAGCGGCTCCAGACAGAGAGGCTGGAGCAGAAAAAATACACCGAAAAGCAAAATGAGGAATGTTTAAAGATGCAGAAAAAGATCAGCAGCAGCGAAGAGGTAGGTTAAAGAATCCACAAATACAGATTGCTTCAAAGTCATTTCTGTAGTCATTTCTGTGATTTCCTGTATTAAGTATTTGTATCAGCATTGTGTTTTCTTGCGCTCTATCAGCTCCTGTCGAATGTAAAGGAAAAGCTGTTCTGGAGCCAGATGGAGATCCAGGCAAAGCGAGAGCAGCTGGCCACGTTGGAGGCCATGGTGGCCACAAAGAGGGACCTCTTGACCAGGAGCAGGCAGGCATGCAGTGGCCTGCAGAGAGACAACCTGAGGCTGAAGGAGCATCGTGGACTGAGAGGGAACAGGGTCCTGATGCAGGACTTTGAGGACACTGTGGATGCCTCCGATCACCTAGCGAAACATCTGGAGGATCTGAAGTGCCTGCAGGCTGAGATTGTCTTCAGATGTGGCAGATGGAAGAAGAAGCTGGAGATAATTTAATTATTGAATGAACAAATGATTAAACTGAACATTTTAAGGTGTGATCAGGATACACAGTATCAACCTGGAAAAAAGCCACATTAAACAGAAGAGGACATTAATGAACATTAATAAGCATCAGCTTTAATTGGTTGTTTTATTTAATTTAATTTTATTTTAATCTTAATTTAATCAGACAGTCTCATTGAGATTAAGATCTGTTTTTCAAGAGAAACCCAACAACAAGAAACATTCACAAGAACATAAACAGCAAACCAGGAACAACAAATTAGAAAAAACTGTTACAAGAATAATTCAAAACATCAAATAATAAAGCTTTAAAATCTCCAACGGGAGTCTAAGTTTGAGGGCAGTTTAAAGTTCATTCCATTTAAAAGTACCTGATCTGATCTAGTACCTGTAACCAGTTCTGCCAACATTAGTGCATGTCCCGACAACATATCCTAACTGGATGCAATGTGAGCGAGTGGTTAAAGCGACTAAATTAGTTTGGTTGCTTTGTTTCTTATTGGACTGTCCTAAATGCCTGCAACGTGACATAACATGACATGATGCGATGTGGCACGCTGTTTTGAGCTGAACTTTTGATGTACGACCTGTTTTCTGTTTTTATTCTGTTTGGCTGATTCATGAGTTTTAAATGAGGAATTACCTACATGATACCTCCTTATTTCACTACAAAAACCTTAGCACACTCACATGCAAAGGTTTGGCCACCCCTGGTCGAAATTTAGTTTACTGTGAATAGTTAAAGGAGCAATAAGCGAAATTCATCATTTCTAGCTTGAAGACGACCAGGATCTGACATTACCTCTAAAGAAACAACGGTTGTTGGCGAAGAAGTTGTCGGATAAAGAAAGGGACAGAACTCGGATTAACATTGGCCTTGCATTTCCAAGGTGGAGAGCACTGCAAGAGCTAAAGGGGCTACAATCTGACTCGGAGCAAGCTCTTTTTCTCCTGGACAGGTACAACATAAAGTCAAATGTCTGTTTTAATTAGTGTTACAGTAACGTTAAGCACATGTCGCTATGTCGATTCAATTAAATTTAGTGTTACAATCGTAGCATGGGTTAATGTCCGGAGCTTGAGTTATTAGCGGCTCGGTCCCAGCAATGGGTCAGGTGTTTCAGTTGTGTTAGGTGAGTAGCCCAGCAGCTCAGCTAACATTTGCAATTAGCATTGTAAAATGTAGCCTGGTGGGCAGCCTGGCGGCTGTGTTTATCTATTCCCCTGCCTACTTCAATGATGATGGTCCCTGTAATAAATGCAATATATTTGCTGAAATGGAGGCTCAGTGACTAGAAGAGCTGGTAGAAGCGCTCCATAGCAGCAAGCTACTCCAATAGCCGTAGTAGCTCTAGTGCTAACTCTAGGAGCTAACGCTAACATTCCTCTTCTCCGTGAGCCCGCCAGGCTCCACGCTAGAGCTTGCCGGAGCCGAGAAGCAGGCTCCCGGAACGTTAGCATGGCAGCCGACTGGTGCTAACGCTAACGTCCCCACGCTTCTCGGCTCCGACTCACTGAGCCTGGCGGAGAAGCGTGGGGACGTTAGCACTAATGGGCTGCCATGCTAACGTTCCAGATCTCTCCGTGAGCCCGGCTCCCGGCTCCCCGCTCAGTTGGAGTTGGAGCGTTAGCGTGGTAGCCGAGTAGTGCTAACGCTAACAGGAAAGCAGGGAAATAGCTAAACACAACAGAGACCGAGAGTGAGTGAAAGACATTGCTAACTGCTAAACTAAGCTGGCTGTTTAGGTTTTATTTCCTCGCCCCTGTGGCGAGTGAATCTGCCTGCAGTGAAAGCGGGGGCTAACCGGTGCTTCCTCCTCATGCTCCACTTCACTCGGGTCCATGGATGTGATAGTCCCGTGGCTCATGACACACTTTGTTTTGCTCTACAGGCAGTGCACAACAGCGAACCTAGCGGTGAAACGATTTCGCTTATTGCCCCTTTAAGTAAGTAAAAGATGACCTGATTTCCACAAGGCAAAATTTTAAAGATGACACATTTCTTTAGTATTTTAAGCAGAATTGCCCTTTTAATTTCAATCTTTTATAGTTTCAAAATAAGAAAAAGGGAAAGGGCCCGAAGCAAAGTTTTCGGCACCCTGCACTGTCAATTCTAAGTAGTGCCCCCTCTGGCAAGTATCACAGCTTCTTAACAATTTTTGTAACCAGCCAGGAGTCTTTCAGTTCTTGTTTGGGGGATTCTCATCTACTCTTCCTGCAAAAGGCTTCTAGTTCTGTGAGATTCTTGGGCTGTCTTCATGCACTGCTCTTCTGAGGTCCATCCACAGATTTTTAAGTTTACAGGTTGAGTAGGTACTGGATTGTGCTCTGTAGATCTCAAGATTTAATTGACACAAATTGTGTTAGGTAGTTTGGAAGTTTCAACAGCAGAGTCTTATGAATGAATACCATGAGATGGCAATTTCTTCTTGACAGAGGGAGTCCATCCAACAGTGTGATACAGAGAACTAGTTTGTGATAAAGGCCTCTAGTTTCACAGACCGGGCGAGGTGGAGGCGCAGTGCACCTGCGCTTCACCAACTGGGTGTGGCCAGGCGGATATTGCAGGTATGGCACACCGTGCGCGCTGGCGCGGCTACTCCTCTTTCCCACCTCCATCTCTCCTACCTGCGCAAGTCGGAAAGAGGGAGGAGAGAAGGCGTGGGGTGGGTTTCACACAGCCGATTCACATCACACCAATCAAATGAGCCCCTCTCCTCGCCCTTAAGTGCGCCGCGCGAAGGCGTAATGAGAGTTTACTCAATTTGCCATGGCAGAAGAGAGCAGCAGCGTCAGACGTCCAACTTTTCCCAGGAAGAAACTGATGTTTTGGTCCGGGAGGTCCAAGCTCGCAGTGTCCGAATATACGGAACTGCATCAGTAGAGAATTGTGTGGCTGTATTTAAGACAACTCTTAACCTGCACGGCAACACACAGCACCACTGAAGTAAGCTCTGAAAACTTTCTCGTTCTCATTTGGCTCATGGTAGTTGCATGTCACATCATGTTGATGTAGCCATGTGAAATACGATCCGGAGTTTTCATTGGTGTTTTATTGTGAAAATTTACCGGATACCCTCGTCTTTTCTGTACCTGACTTCCTGTTTGACTCATCTGGTCTGTGCAAATTGACGTGCCGTCGCGCGGCGGCGTGTTTTTAGCAGAGCGGTGCGCCGAGCCGCTTCTAGGCCGCGGCTGGTGGACCTTACAGCTTACATGGACTTGAATGGCCACTATTTGCTCCGGCACCTGCGCCTCGGCCGGATCACGCACACCATGGATCCAGTGGGTTGCCATAAATGGGCCTGTCCCAGAGGCATTCAACTACCAGAGGGCTTTTGAAATCTTCTTTTCGAAGCCGCGTAAAATTAAATGCTCTGATTCAGGGTGCCATACTTGCAAATCATGAGGGAGGGAAGGAGGAAAGCAGTAATTTGTGTCTGTTTATGTGAAATTAATTTAAGTCTTACCTTTTGTTTTCTTTTCGTATTGCGTATTTTGTATTGTTTTGCGTATCTGTAACTGTGTTTGTGAGTGAGAGTTTTAAAAGAATATTTTGTCAGCATATGATTTAAAATAATAAAATAGCCCTCCATTAGTACGTTAGTCATTTTTCTTTTGATTACTGAAATGTTTAACCACTAATCCTTAGCCGTATTTTAAGTGTAACCCTTCACCATAACATACCACTAGTGTTTTTATCAGTAAAAATAGAACATTTTTCACATATAAAAAGCACAAATATGTTGAAATCTAAGCATATTCTGCCATCATAACTTGGCTCTCAGAATTCACCAGATTGATGAAATCATGAATTGATTAAATCAAATAGATACAAAATTTTCTCCTGGGGGAGCATGCCCCCGGACCCCCCTACAGGGTTGGATGTAGTCTCC